GTTACCAGACTATGGCACTAAGTGCCACATCCAGTCTCATCTTAAAAACCTCGAGGGACAGAGGATCCACCATTTCCCTGGGCAGCCCATTCCAATGCTTGATTACCCTCTCTGCAAAGACTATCTTCCTAATATCTAACCTAAACCTCCCCTGGCAGAGCCTAAGACCATGCCCTCTTGTCTTACTGATAGTTGCCTGGGAGAAGAGACCAACCCCCACCTGGCTACAGCCTCCTCTCAGGGAGTTGTAAAGAGTGATGAGGTCTCCTCTGAGCCTCCTCTTCTCCAGGCTAAATAACCCCAGCTCCCTCAGCCTCTCCTCATAGGACTTGTGCTCGAGTCCCTTCACCAGCCTTGTTGTTCTTCTCTGGACCTGCTCCAGCACCTCAATATCCTTCCTGAACTGAGGGGCCCAGAACTGGACACAGCACTCCAGGTGTGACCTCACCAGCACTGAGTACAGGAGAAGAATCACTTCCCTGCTCCTGCTGGCCATGCTGTTCCTGATACAGGCCAGGATGCCATTGGCCTTCTTGGCCACCTGGGCACACTGCTGGCTCCTGTTCAGCTTCCTGTCAATCCAAACTCCCAGGTCCCTTTCTGCCTGGCTCTCCAGCCACTCTGTGCCCAGCCTGTAGCACTGCAGGGGGTGGTTGTGGCCAAAGTGGAGGACCCAGCACTTGGCCTTGTTGAACCTCATCCCACTGGAATCAGCCCAGCTCTCCTGTCTGTCCAGGTCCCTCTGCAGAGCCCTCCAGATCAGCCTTCCATCTGATCGACACTCCCCCCCAGCTTGGTGTCATCTGCAAATTTGCTGATGATGGACTCAATCCCCTCATCTAAATCATCGATAAAGATATTAAACAGGACTGGGCCCAACACTGATCCCTGGGGGACACCACTAGTGACCAGCTGCCAACTGGATGCAGCACCGTTCACCACCACTCTCTGGGCTCGGCCCTCCAGCCACTTCTTAACCCAGCAGAGAGTGCCCCTGTCCAAGCTGTGGGCTGCCAGCTTTTTTGGGAGAATGCTGTGGGAGACGGTGTCAAAGGCTTTGCTGAAATCCAGTCCAATTCGAAGAAGGGGAAATTTATTGAGGAGAATTGGAGCACGACATCATAATCACATAATCCCAATTCCTTGCAGGTATGCAGCTGGAAGTTAAATGGTCACCTTGGCTGACAGCAGGCAAAGCAGAATTCAACATGTGTTGGCATGATTGAGCTTCAGAGACAGGAACATCATGGCTGGAGCAGAGACAGCACACAGGATATGAGCAATAGCTGTTGACTAAGCTGTCGACTTTCAACGCCTGCATTTAAAGTCAGCACCAAAGCCTAATTTTGGTCCCATTAGTCCCTCTAAGTAGCAAGGCCTGCACACTGCACATGGATTGCTGCTTCCCAGAGCCTATGCAGGGGAGCCGTGGCATAGCTTCCTCCAGCAAGGCAAGGACTTTGCTTTGTCTTGAACTCCCACCGCAAATAAAAAGGGGCTAAACCAAAGTTTTATTAACCAGCAGGGATTTCGGAGAGTTCATTGCTGGGACTTAGATCAGGACTAGAGGCTTCCAGATAAAGTACAGGGATTCAAAACATCAGACTCTTACACCACACCTCATCGTAGTCCTCAAGTGTCACCTTGAACATAAGGGGTAATCAAGATTACCCCTTACAACATCAAGAACATCAAGAACATCAAGACACTGGGTTCTAAGCCTTCAAACAGTCCTGAGCAGAAGAACTGATCACAGAATGAGATTAGACCAAGAGCCCATTCAACAAGCAGCCACAGAGAAAAAGTCCAGGCCTTCTTAAGAAGTGGCTGCAAAGTGCCTGATAACTTCACTCTCTCCCTCAGGACCTGCTTCCTACCCCCACACTCCAATGCAAACATCAATGTTTAAAGAACTACTAAAGAAAACAACTTCAAAACTCTTCACATAGTTCAAATACTTCACTTAAAAGGAATTTGAATTCTTACATCTCAGATTGCACCAGTCCCCAGCAGGACACGCACTCATCATGTTCCCGTTGTAGCAGTTTGAGCTGTTCAAACAGGAGGGACGGAGCCACAGTAAGAGACCACATGCTCAGGCAATGGAGATCCCCACCAGCCCTGCCTGTGCTTTCCTGTGACAAACTCAGTTCGTCACATCACAAGTTCATCATAAGGCACCTCTCAGGGTTCCTTGCTATGATCTACACAAAAATGAAAACCTCCTGCAGCCAAGGGACACACACCTTGAAGACCCAGCCAGTGGGAGAGTACTGGGAGCAGTGGGTGTGCAGTTCTTGGTAAGCCTTTTAGCGAGTCCTACTGCAGAGCTGCAGCATGAGAGTCAGGTCAGTGCTGCTTGTGATTTGCTTAGAGCTCAAGACTGGCCGTCCCTGAGCTTTCCAGGGCTGTATCCACACACTTTGTCTGGCCCACCACAACAAGGCCATGACCTATTACAAACAGCAGCACCTCCCTGATAGTTCTGAGTCAAACCAAGCAGAGAAGCCAAAGAAGCTTTTCTGCTAAACAAGGTCTACAGGAGTGAGTTAAAAAAAAAAAAGCTATTCTTCTCCAAAGAGTGTCGGCTGCTCTCTCTGGACAGTACTGCTATTTATTTGCAAGCTGGAAGAACCTTTACATCCCAATAAGCTGTGTCATCTCCCTGCAGCACAAAACTGCTGCAGAAACCTCTGTGGCATCACAGCAAGCCTTGCATTCCTCAGCAGCAAAAACCTATACAAATCCATTCATCTCCTTGGGATGCGGACAATTTACGTTTTGGATGCACCACCTGTAGGTGTGATGGCATATGGTAAAGCTATAAAGCTTCCCCAAACACATTCACCTGCTCAATTCCAGCCATGACAGAGAAGAACACAGAATATCCTGAAGTATGGAAAAGGTATATAAGAGGTTAGAAATCCCCCCCTTCCTTCCATTCCTCACGCCAGCTGACAATTCATATGTAGGGGTAACAGTGACAAACAAGCTGCTCCATGAGGTAGGTTTCTCTGGGCTACTGCTCCTTCAGAGAGGCACGTGGTCCGTGCCCTCATGCACTGGAGGGACATAAATGGAGTATTTGGAAAATGTATTAGGGAAGCATGAGGTGTGATTTGGGAAATGCTGTACCCCATTCATCTTGTGGCTACCCAGCTCCTGAACTTACAAAACTAAATTCGAGCTGCTATACACCGGGCACAACCCTTTCCTGCAGCAAGCCATGTTTCCTGTCCTGCAAGGTACACTCAGTCCAACAAGACTGGGAACATTTCCCAAGCCTTCTAATCAGCAAACATAGCTTGGACCCGGCAGAAGGTTTCAACAGTTGTAGAAACTCGTGGAGATTGTGCTGTTGGAATTACAGACCCTGCTTCAGAGTACAGCCTCACCACACACATACACAGGGATTTAAGCCACCCCTTTTCTCCCAAAGTGTGACAGTACAGTTGGATGTTGCAAAAAAAACATTATTTTGGTATCTGCAACCTTCTTATCCATTTTTTAAAAGGACAGCATCTTCTCTGGACAGCACCACCAAAGCCTATTGAATTTCCTTCCATTGCTCTGGCTATGTTGTACAAACAATGTGAAGTACCATTGCCCTCGGACATCTGTACATGTTTTAATGTTTACTAATTTGGCCTGACTGGGAAAACTTTATCTGTATTTCAGAAGGATGAGTCCTTTCCCCATTGCAGCTTTAGCTCCTGTCATTCCCACTCCATGAACCCCTTCTCCATCAACTTGCTTGCAAGGAGGAGCATAGAGAAAGCCCAACACCAAGAAAAGGATAAAAACACACCAGAAACAGGGAAATGCCTCAGTCCTTTACATTCAGAGGCAGACCTGCCCTGAAGGGGAGCCCCCAGGACTGATCTGTCTCCAAAGGAAACTGAATCACGGGCAAGCCAGCCCCCTTCAATTTACATTAAGACTTCAAGCTACTGTATATATTCTCCCCCCACTCCAGCACAAGCTTCTTCTTTCTAACACAAATCTCTCACAGCACACAGACACATGTGCTCCCAGGCAGTGAACAGCAGTGCTGTGATGTATTGAAACACAAGTCCAGTGAGATTCAGCCCTTGCAAAGACACTTTTTCATTAGCAAATTATAATTGGCAGCTCTTATCTGCTACAAGAGTTTTGCAACACACCCCTAAAGAATATGCCAGACTAGTTCTTCACACTAAGACCCAAAATTAGAACTAATATCCTAAAAGCAAAGTGACCCTCACCAGGAATTCCCAAGCAAACTAATCAACACTGTAGTTTTAAAACGAGCTCTGTTATATTTTCTCAGATCCACATGCACATCCAGAGAGAACAGAAGCAGAAATGTAATTTTAAAGTGACTGACGCAGCTGTAGAGTTATAAAAGTCATATAGGACTCCAGACTTTCTGCTGTGCACAAATCAAAATAAAATTGTAGACCCAGAAATTATTAAGAAAGGAGACACTTTTTCTCCTGTCTTAAGAAAACAGCAACTGAGAACATAATTCATTCTGTGCATGTAACATCTCCTTTATCTCAGCTCGGGGGGCTTTTGCAGCCATCAGGAGCTGTATGTTAAGAGAAGGGAATCTGGCCCGTTACAAAATAATTGGGGCTTGCTGTATTAGTTTTAATTTATGTCCTAGACCTTCATAGTCTCCTAATCCAGTCTTTTCACTCCACTGAGAAAAACAGCACAAAACCTGCCACAAACTTTTACAAGAGTATTCCTTTCCTTGTTCCCAAAGTTACTCAGACTAGCTCTGCTGAAATAGTTTTGCTAATTATTGAGAAACGCTTTTGAGAAACGCTTTTAAGAAACTCAAAATCCTCTTACAGAAGACACTTTTCATCCACTTATTTTTAGAAGATTAAAATTACTCCCCACATAATTACCCCAGATCTGCTCACACCCCCTTTCCTTGAGCTGCTCCTGAGCGCTGGAATAAGAGCTCCTATCCACGAGCAGCACATGAAAGGATCGGCGTTTCTCCCTACCTGAGAAGTCTGCAGAAGTCTTAGCAAAGTTGCTGAAAGCTGTCAAGCACATGAGTCCCAGGAGGAAGATGGAGGTGGGAGACACGTCTGGGCAGCACATCCTTAAGTGTCCTCACGGCTTGTATTCTTCCAGAGAAAAGGAAAGCGTTTTCTGCCCCAAGCCGGCACTCCTCATTGCCCGGAGAACAGTGTTAGTCCCACTACTTGGAAGGCTCGCAGCCAGCGGCGGGGAAGAAAAAGCACTCGACACACACACACACTCACACACACACATGGAGTGAATGAATCCCGGCTGACGAATGAGGCAGACCTACCTGAGCCCTGGCGGAGTTCCCAGGGTCCTAAAAGCCACCTCTTCGCCCAAATTTGCTGCAGACTGTTCCTGTGCAGCTGTCCGGAGGAGCTGCTGGGGAGGCAGTCGGGGTGGGGGTTGGCCGGGGGGGCTGGTTTGGAGAAGCCCGGTTGTGTTATTAGATTAGTTATCCGGGGATCTTGTCTGTGTTGCTAATAGACAGAAAGATGGGCAGAGTTTTCAAAGGAGGGAGCCCAAAACAAAGCACCTGAATTCACATGGGTTTTTGGCATGCCGGTTTTTTGGACTGCTGCTGAAATCAGTGTGAGCAGTGGTGTCCTGCCAGACTGGGGACAGGACAATTGTTCTGTGTCCCCTGTTGAGAGTGATCCTACAATGGAAGAGACTTTGCACAGGCCCGGGGATCAAACCCTCCTGGATCTCATTGCAGGACTGGGACTGGTATCAGCCACGTATCCAAAAATCCTCCTTTCTTTTGACAGCAGACAGCCATGCCAGGTGCCCTTTATCCCACTGGACCCCTTTCCCCTCCATCAAAATCAACAGAGGGTTTTCACGCAGATCTAAACCTGTGGTTTTCCTAGAATCATAGAATGGTTTGGGTTGGAAGGGACCTTAAAGATCATCTTGTTCTAAGCCCCCTGCCATGGACAGGGACACTTCCCACTAGACCAGGTTGCTTCAAACCCCATCCAGCCTGGTCTTAAGACTCAGAAGACTTGTCTCCTTCCATAGCAACTACTTTACCTCCAACTAGCACAGCCTTAGATGCTCACTCAAGTACTTCTCACCCTGCAACGTTAAAAGAAGGCTCCAGCTCACCTGGAAGCACATCCAGCATTTGATCCTGCCTGATTTCCATCCATCTCTTGGCAGCATCAAGGTGCTAATTTGTGAGAGCTGAGCTGAGCTCTGGGGACGCTGTTCTCCGTGGGCACAGGAAGGAGATCCTGGGCTTTGGTCGCCAGCATTAGCTGCAGCTCAGGCATAGGTTTGCATATAAACAATGGGCATATCCAACATATCCAGGCTAGAGCAGAAGCTGAGCATCAGTGCAGAGAGCAAGGGGTAGTTTTCACAGGCAAAGCCAACACCAGACATTTAGCAGCCTGTGTATACATATATCCAGACCTACAGAGCAGCACTGTGTGGGGCTGCCAGGGAAGGGCAGATGAAGCCAGGCTCACACACAGCTGCTGAACAAAGCTGCAGCTTCTATCCAGCAAAAATAACCTCAGTGGAAACATCTGAGGAAAACCACAACTGGTTTTTACTCCTCTGTCCCGTTCATCCACATGGAATTAAGTGAAACTTTCCAAAAACATTGACCCTAGAGCTGAAAACAAGTGTAAGAAACTTCAGCCCGAAGGGCTCTGTTTTTTTTTCAAAGCTAAGTGCACTTGTAAAGAGTTTCTTATGCTGAAATTTCTAACAATGTTTCAGCTGTTCTCAGATGAAAATCAGAGTGGCTGCCTGATTATATGTGAAAGACATTTTCAAGAGTGCTGCCATGAATACCAGAGCAATTTTTTCCACCAGAAATCTGTCCTGGGATGGTCTGTGTGCTAGAAGCCAACTCCAAGGGGAGCTGTAAGTCCTGTGGCCCTATTTGCTTTCTACCCATACAGCCACTTGCTCAAGTTCCAATCAGCCACACTGAGGATGAGGATAGTGTGGTAAAGCTGGAGTTCGAGTTCAGATCCTGTCCCTGACCACAGGAACAGGAGGCAGGTCTGGCCTGAATTGCCCCTAAGCAACCCTTTTTTCATCAATAGCTATTCACACACTGAGGGTCTACATTGAAGGTGCAGATGAGTCTCCCCGAGGACAGTGGTGGCTCTGGGCTGACCTGACAGTACAGTCATACCAACCCAGCAGGCTACGTACAATCTAGCCCCAGTCCCTTTTCTGTGCAGACAGTTCTGCCACCTTGCCTTTTTGCAGAGGGCTGCTTAAGCAAGATCAAAAACCAGAACTTCTACAGGCTACCTTACTCTTTGTTTCACCTGATATTTGAATCCCACATACTGGACCTCCCTGATCCATATTTATCCAGGGGTGACTTAAGTTTTAAAGAGAAAATACCAGGGTATTTGATTCTGAGCATCGATGTATAATTCTTGTCTCACCTACTTCTGCTGTCCTTGCCCAGAGGAAGATTCACCACTGTTGCCTTATAAGCATGAGATAACCATACCCATTACCAGATTATCAGTCAAAGCTCCTTATCAGCAGGACAAAGAAACAATAGGACCCCTGGAAATTTATCAGCCTCTGGAAAAGAGAAGCACTATTTGCTGAAAAGAGCCCACCCTGTTAGCAGGTGTTGATTTTACTGATTAAAGGGTAATTAGGTTTGGCTGACTCAGTATATGGGGAGGAAAAAAAAACTCTGGAGACAAAGGGTTTAAGGCTGAACATGGGCAGCTTGCTTGAGCAGCCCTTTAGGTTATTGCTAAAAGAGTCAATCCAGGGGGGAGAAAGTTTACATCAGTGTCCTATCCTGCTTTGTTTTTAAGCAAGTTTGTAAAGATGCCTTCTTCCAAAAGGAAAGAAGAAAGCAGCTCTTGCCAGAGAGAAAAAGAAAAAAAATAGATATATTGGCCTTTGAGAAACAGACAATTCAGTTAAAGCCCATCTCCATAATGCCCTTATTCCCTAGAGCATCTGGGAACATCAGCTGTGCGTTTCAAACGGAAAGAGACCACCTGTCCCCACGGCAGCACAAACAAAAGATGGTCACTCTGTCATGGACAGTCTCATGGGGTAAACATGAATCAATGGGACACGAATATGGAACTTTATTTTTAGGAGTAACAGCCCTTGAAATCCACCCGTGCTTTGAAATATGTCTCTGGGGATAGGTAATAATGCATATAAAGGACCCCTTGGATCCCTTGTTCTCAAGGCCACCCAGAAGTGGGAATAGGCCAGTACTGATGCAGTTCAGCATTGCATCTTATCTTGGAGGAATGATTACTTAGTCCCTTTCCCTCCACAAACTGACTGTGGAGGAGTGTCTGTAACTAAGTCTAGGATGCTTAACAACTGTACCTCAGTCCTCTTTTTGACTATGATACATAAGTGCATTTTTCTTTCTCCTCCCATACTCCTCTCTTCTGGATCCTCTCCTTCTCCTGCTACAGATAAAACGGTAATATCTGAAACATGCAAGTAAATTCCCAAAGCACTTTAAAAGCAGTTAAGTTCAACTACAGCTGAGGAAACCAAGGCACTGAGAAGTGAATCAATTAGTCATTTAACTTTGTCACCTCAACCACACAGTTTATAAACGGCAATTGGCTTGGGTGATTCCCAGTTTAATCTCATATGTGCTGATCTTGTTTCCTTCTAGGGCTGATTTTTGGTAATGCTTTCCCATTTTTCACTGACCCTGCACCATTAACCTCTTTCTTGCAGACTAAACCATCAACAGCCTGAAGAAGGGCTGGTCAGTAGGAAAGCTGGACCAGGAATAGCTTTCAGCTAGAGAACCATATGTAGGATTGAAGCTCTCTTTCTTTACACAGCCACAAGCAGGTTTATTAGTACAAATTTGCTAGGACTAGTCTCGCTTTCGAACCCTAGTAACATAACTCACTTCTTACTGTGTTTTCCATAAGGTCTCAAAGCACTCTCGAAAAGACCACTGTTGCATTCTGCCATTTCACACATGGGCAAAGCACAGTCATGTTTGAGGTCACTACTTTTTCAGTGTCAGCCAGGGGAAACTGTCAGAGATAAGAAAATATTAAATACTTTTTATCTTAAAGTCCAGCTAGAGCTCTTTCCACTTGGCCACATTGCCTCCTGTAAAAGAATATAAATTAATGGCAAACTATATGTGCATTTATAGCTACAAAAATATATGTAAACTGGGTGGTCAGAGCTTCAATGTAAAACAGCAAAGCTTCCCTGCAGAGGACAGCTTTTTGTTCTCCTTTTTTTTAATCTTTCCCCTAAGAGTGTCTTATGGAAACAGATGGGGTTACTCATGGAAGTAAGAGTTGTTTGCTTTCAATTTGAAGGCAGAGGACTTCACATAATGCAGTTTTGCAATACAACACCAAGTACTCACAAGTAAAATCCTCCTCTCTCTCCATATTCAACGTTAAACAACAGCTGTGCAGAATATTCAAACTGAAAGGCCTTTGAAGTTTTCACATTTTGTGTCACTCAATCACTTCAGTTTGCAAAACGAATATAAAACCTGTGGGACTCTGCTCCATACTGGGACAGGTTTGGAGAGGGAGTGTTGCTTTAACAGAATTCCATGTAGAACAAAAGTTCCAAGTGATGCACTCATCTCACTAAAACATTGGGAAACATTGAACAGAGTGGTGCAAAATTTTCCCATGCATGGAAATGTCAAAAATAAAATATTTGGAGACTACAAAGTGGTCCACAACAAAGCCGAAAACTTTTTCCTCGTGTCTGCACCAAAAATTGATGTTAAAATTTCTCTCAGCTGAAATTCTCTTTAGTATAATGGTTCCATGTTCTGTGTTAGAGGATACTGCACAGTCTAATTTATCTAATACCAGCATATCTGATTGGGTTTAGTTGGTGCCTTGTGCACAGGATGTTCTTGGGCTAATCACTGTACTAGAACTACAGGAATTTGGACTCATCTTCAATCTTCATCTTTGTACTACACTGCAAGTCACATAAGGATTTAGAGTCAGGGATTTCAAAGATCAGACTTCCTCAGATGTGAATTGGATCTCTCCTTTTCCCTGTGTTTCATTTGTTCTGCTTGCTTGGATGTTGTTCCCTGAGATTTTTTCTATGTGGACATGCAGCACCAGCTGAGA